ATCATTGTTACAGTGCACGCTGGCCTTCACTCTCCCAGACTATGTGCAATTATTTTTAAAAGACAATTTACCTGAAATAATTGAAATGTGGCTTCTTGCTAGCTCAGTTAGCATTTATGTTTATTGTGTTCTTTCATGTTTTTGTACGCTGATCATAAAGAAGGTTGGACAGTCCAAAGTGAGAGTAGGAAATGTTGTGTGCATGACGGTGCCCAGGAGGAGGAGAGACTCCCTCACAAAGGAGGCCCATACATGGTGTGAAAGATCCTGACACCAGAGACGGCTTGAAGCTGATCCTGATTCGATAAGATGTGATCCGAGGGATTCCTTGGATGAGGAGGTAGTTCGAGTGAAGCTGATGCTCCCCCTGATGACAGTACTGGTTATGACCCAGTTGTGTTCTCATCTATCTGACCCTCATGAGGAGGGAGTGCAAGTCAGAGGTGCTGAGGTCAGTCATGTTTAGAGCAGTCGGGAGAGAGACATTGCAGTCGGTGAGGATGGAATAAAGCAGACGGTGACAGAGTGAAACTGCAAGGAACTGAACTGATCAAAGGACAATGGACTCTGACATCACATTTTCATACATTCATATTGCACACAATTTATGTATAACAGTTATTTAGTACTTTCTCTTTCATACATTCCCTACTTAATTGTCATTGAGTATTTTCATTTTATATGTATCCACGAGCAGAAGATTTTTGGTCTGAGATTGTATTCTCATAAATAGGGGAGCTGGATTACAGCATTTGTAATAGGCAATACTTAACGGGAACACAAGCAGTTTAATCACAGTACAAATGTTTGTGTTACAGTTATGTTATATTTTGAGTTCAGTTTTAAGATTTACACTATGTCTGGTTCCTACAGTCAGGTTGGTGGTGATCGCCCAAACAAGCCTGGAGAAGGTTTTCCCCAGCATTCGTCATCATTGGGGTTTTTTACGTTTCTGGGGACCCAAAATGAAAAAGGGGGATCGTTCAGGAATTTTGCACTTTGGGTTTTTGCCTGGACATGCAGTGAAGGAAGAATTGTAATGATGTGCATTGAAGCTGTTTGTTTTATAGTACAGACACTTGTGAACACTGAAAACTTACAATGTGGAACAGAGTCACCACCTCATGCTTGTTGTTTATTTTTATGTTCATGTTTGTTTATTTGTAGTCTGTTATTGTTAGGATGGCTCGAACACGGAAGTGAGCGAGTCACAAAAATTAACGAACCCAGGTGGCTGACTTCGATGCAGGCAGTGCAAGTTTATTTACAGTGTAAAACAAGTGACCAAGAAATGAACAGACGAGTAACACTGGGACCGGGTGTCGAGCTTCGGATAGGAACACAGTCAGTGGCGGAGATGATGAGAAGAGGACCGGGCTGCGGACACTGGAAATCACTCCTGGACTGGTCGAGTTGGATGGTACTGAAGAGGAACAGACATTGTACATACGGTAAGTAGAAGACTGTGCATCGACCTGCAGGGTGGTGATGAAGCAGAGCGGAGGAGGTCCGTGGTCCAAAGGAGCGACTGAGGCGAGGTGGGAATGAATAAAAAGCAGCTGGAGAGAAGGAGACAAATAACTAACACAGATCAGAAGGAGCAACAGGGAACAAACGGGCCTGAGAAATGCTAGAAAGAACTGGCAGGGGAGGGAACGAAGTGCAGGGGCTAAATAGGGAGAAACTAATCAGGTGCAGCTGGTGGTAATCCGGGGGTAAGAAGCAGGTGTAAGGGATAACGTAATCAGGGTAAGTGAGTGAAAACAGAGCGAGGGGAGTGAGAAAGTAGGTGCAGCCGGGCAAACCTGACAGTTATGCATTGGAAGTTATTTGTCATTTCATATAGTTAATTACTGCTAGGATGTGAGTTGTTAGAAATTTGAGTGAATGAGTGTTTGATGAAGTTATGTTTTAGTGGAGTATGAGGGAAACACTGCTAAGTTTATATGTTTACTGATGAGTTGTTAGCTCTGTAAGTAGAACTGATTTTAGATTTAACTTTAGATGTAAGAAGAGGTTGATGCTAAACTAGAGCTGTTAGAGTTTAGTAGTGTTAAAGTCTCAGGCAAACATGGTCATATTTTCAGTTTCCTCTTTGCTTTTATGGTACTTGTTTTTTTTGCAGAGTTTGAAAGTTCTGTGGCCTTTGGACCACGGGAGGAGCGACCGTAGTGGTTTAAGTTACATGTTAATATGGATTATGTAATAGAATAGAGTGTTCGTGTGCTCACTTTTAAGTTCATGTGAGCTGGACAATGGGCTTATATAATTTGGCCAAGATGTTTCCCATTATTGGGTACATCTCAGGGTGTTGTCTCCTAAAACTGGAGACAGGAAGCTAAGTTCGGAAATTGACGTAACAGCCTAAGAAAGCTGTGGATAAAAAGGGTAAGGCTGAAGGATAAGGGAGAAGAAGAATGCTACCGTAACATTGAACTGTGTGCTCTTTCGGACCCAGGCCTGGGTAGGGGGAACGGACTCTGACTGACTGTACCCTGTGACCAAGACTGACTGACTCTGTGACAATCTTATTTAAAACTGTATCTATTTCATTACAGGAGGAATGATTCTGTTCTCTGTTCCCTAACTACCAGATTACCTATTTAACTACTACTCTGTTCACAATAATTGTAATATTAAATGATTACTTAAATTGGGATGATTTGTCTGAATTAATTTAGTCTGTATCACATTCTAGCCACGACATCTGCATCCAGGTATTTCCTTGTTCTAAGCACTGACAGAGTGAGTCTAAGGAACCATATGTTGTGTTTCCACTATCATAACCAAAGGACTGGTATACTCTGTATTTTGCCCTGCATAACCTACATTAAACTTTGACATAGACCATCCTACTTTGTTTTTCCGCTATATTTTGTCTGTGTCCATTTCTGCACTGGCTAGCAGTAATTTGGACAACAAAGACTGATTTGTTACAGGTTGGGTAGGCTTGGCAAACTTAGTGAAACTGTCAATAATCACTAAAATATATTCAAATTTTTTTCTTTCCCTCCCCTGCTTTTTGAAACTAGCCTACAGAAACCATCTGAACTGGTGCTATTACCAGTACATGATGCATGGGATGTCAGTACTAGTACTGAGGCTGGACTCAACTATATGACATACACATATTGTAAGTGGGAACAGAGTTTATTGCTGGATAGTGTAAAGAATAAATATACAATACAGCAAAGCACAGCAGGTGTCACTCAGGAGGCTTGGCTTGGGCATGTTAGCGAGCGTGGGAGCTGAAGGACAAGCCCAGAATGATCTCTCCTTTAATGAAATGATGAGAACAGCAGAGACCAGCCACAGGAGATGAGAGCAGTGGTGTCAAGTTGGGCAAAGAGGACACGGGGGAGATGTTAACCAAACTGAGAGCATCACCATCTGGCAGGTCAGGATTCCCTGGCTGGTGTCAATTAGTCCTGGTGGCAGCACAGACTGGCAGGGGGGACTGTCAGATAAGCCGAGTCAAGTCAAATCAAGTGTTTATTGTCATATGCACAGTGAGGAATTGTGTTCCCCTGTACAATGAAATTCTTACTTTGCCGACCGCATGAATGCCACACAATATAAATGAAATATGAAATAGAATACGTAGGTGACACAAAATCTAAGGCACTTTAAAACAGCCAATGAAAGAAGCATAATGAAAATACAATAAGAACACAATGTAGTGAATGTATGCTACATGGGAGCTGTGTGTGCAAATAGTCAGCAGTGAGTGTGCAATTATGCATGTGCAAACTGAGTGTGTAAACAGTACAGATGGAATTGCATGAGGTAGTTCCTGAGTCAGCTGTTTAGGAGTCTGATGGCAGTCAGAAAGAAAGAGTTTTTCAGTCTAGAAGTCCTGCATTTCATACTTATGAACCTCCGACCGGAGGGTAGGGTTGTGAACAGTCTGTGTTGACCTGTGAGGTGTACAGGTCCTCCCTGGAGGGGCGG